GTTTGGAGTAATGATGCCCAAATTCCCAAATATTGTTTATAAATGTTTGTTTTCATTTAAATGGGGTTGGTTATAAATGGTCCCAGCCAATCTCTTTTTAAAGGAAAAAGGGGGAATATGGGATAGAAATGAATACTTTGCATTGGTATGGATTTTTATTTATTGATCCAAATTTAAGATCAATTGTTATAGGTATATTTCTCCTTTTGTTTAGGTATTGTGTTTATACAGCCCATTTAAAATGTAATGTATAACTAAACACAGATTATATATAGTCACCTGTAACAGTCAAAACTTACAGTTAGGTTAGTTAGATTTTTCTAGATGTACAGAGATATATTTCAGGTGGATAGATAGTCTTCAGACATTTCAAAGACCTTCAAAATATGTCATTTAAAATAGTTTATTAGGGTTTTCATGAAAAGGAGACACAACTGCTCCTGGCCACACCAATTACTTCAGAGAGGAAGATGGGCATTGAGGAAACTCTTTAAGGAGTTTGCCTTTGACATGGCAAGACTAGTCATTTGGACAAGAAACTTTCTTGCCTGGACTGTTTGACTGTATGCTGTACAAACTGGACATGCAGGACCCACAAGAAAGTGACTGCTGAACTTGCAAAACAAGATGGACAGGGATGAAGCAGCAGGGTTGCTGCTTCATGGAAGAGTCTGCCAGACATTCTACAGGACACAGAAAAATGACTGACAAACTTCCAGTACAGGTTACCAGTTTAAATTTTCCTGCTTCACTGAGAAGTCTGCCAGACACAATAGGACTGAAGATCGATGCCCCAACATTGCAGAAGGACTTCAGGTGACTGTCCAGACAGCAAGATGTCTCTGTCAATTCTAGAGTATATATATTATCCTTCTGAGATCTCTGATGGGGTTGAAGATATATAGTTATGGTTATAGTTTTCCTTAGCTATGACAAATGATAAATTACATATAAAACTTTAGAGTCACGCCAGGCATTGGTGGCACATGCTTTTAATCCCAGCACTCAGGAGGTAGAGGCAGGTGGATCTCTGTGAGTTTGAGACCAGCCTGGTCTACAAGAGCTAGTTCCAGGACGGCCTCCAAAGCCACAGAGAAACCCTGTCTCGAAAAAAAAAAAAAAAACAAACAAAACAAAAAAAAAAAAAAAAAAAAAAAAAAAAAAAAAAAACAAAACAAAACTTTAGAGCCACAAAGATAGACTAGATGGTAGAATATTTTCTTTATATTTTGCCAAATGTTAATGGACTAAATATTGTTAGCTATAATTCTTACTTGATAACTGTTTTGTTATAAATAATTTTAATATGTTAAAATTAAAACTTTTCTTCTTATTTAGATAGTGAAAAGGAGATGATGGAGGATGTCCTTCTGTATATATGTTTCTTTTATTGGTTGATGAATAAAACACTGTTTAAGGAGGCAGAAAGATATATATAGGACTACGAGAAAAGGAGAATTCTGAGAAAGGTAGGCAGGAGAGCCCACCAGAGACAGTCACCATGTAGACCACAAAGGAATAAATAGCAGGTCCATACCCTTCTCCGGTAAGATAAGACCACATGGAAATACTCAGATTAATAGAAATGGGTTAATAATTAAAACAGAGCTAGCCAATAAGAATCCCTAGCATTTGACCAACAGTTTAATAATTAATATAAGTTTTGTGTATTTATTTGGAGCTGAGAAAAGCAGTGGGATCAGGCCAGACAAGAAAAATCCAGTAACAGAGGAGGTAGGAGAACATGAGGGATCAGAAAGATTGAGTCATGGGAGAATAGAGAAGGAGTGTAATTAAAGAGATACCTTAATAGAAGGAGCCATTATAGGTTTAAAGAGAAATCTGGAACTAAGAAAATGGCCAGGGATCCACAAGGATGACACCAGCTAAGAAGCTAAGCAACAGTGGAGAGGCTATCTTAAATACCATCCTGGAGCCTTCACCCAGTATCTTTTGGGAGAAGAAGCAGAGAGCCACAGCTAAGCACTGAGCCAAACTCCTGGAATCCAGTTGCAAAGAGAGAGGAGTGATGAGGAAAGGGGTCAAGACCACGCTGGGAAACCCACAGAATCAGCTGACCTAAAATCGGGAGCTCAAGACCCCAGTCTGACAGCTGGGGAACCAGCATAGGCCCAAACCAGGCCCTCTGAATATGGATGTCAATTGGGAAACCTGGGCAGTCTATGGGGCCTCTGGCAATGGAACCAGTATTTATCCATAGTGCATGAATGGGCTTTTGGAGCCCATTCCCTATGAAGAGATACTCTTTCAGCCCAGATACAGGGCAGGACCTAGGCCCTCCCCTAAATGATGTGACAGACTTTGATGATCCCTCATGGAAGGCCTCGACCTCCCTGGGAAATGGATGGGGGTGGGCAGGGGGTTAGTGGGGGACATGGGAGAGTGTGAGGGGGAGGGAACTGGGATTGGTATGTAAAATAAGATTGTTTCTAATTTAAATAAAATTTATAAGATGAAGGAGGAGGAGGAGGAGGAGGAGGAGGGGAGAAGGAGAAGGAGAAGAAAATGTTTGCATAATATGGGGCTGTAGGCAAGCCTGGAAAGCATTTTCTTAATTAGTGATTGATGTGGGAGGGCCCAGCCCATTACAGGAGTCATGATCCCTGCGTTGCTGATGGCTCTGGGTTCTAGAAAAAAAAGTTGAGATAGCCATGGGGAGCAAAGTAGTAAGTAGTACCCCTCATGGCCTCAGCATCAGCTCCTGCCTCCAGGTTCTCACCCTGTTTGAGTTCTGTCCTGACTTTCTTCAGTGATAAACTATTGAAATCCATAATGTAGAAGTGTAATCCAAAGAAAACCTTTCTTTCCCAGTTGCTTTTGGTCATAGTGTTTCATCATAGCATTAGTAAACCAAACTAAGACAATGGTCATCATTTCATATTTCAGGAGGTATCTGCTGGAAGACAAATTAACTACCATTATAGATGACCTGTCTTATGTTTAATGTATTTCCCATAATTCTAATATCAGCCTCTAGAAAACTTGAGAATTAACTACCAGTTCTACTACTTGAAGAGTGGAGCAACATTCAAAATACTCTTACCATGAAGTTTCTACTTAATAAATTCCAGCCAGACATGAAATCAATAGTCCTACCCATAGCCAGTTATGATGTCTATGAATGACAAAGATAATCAGTAAATACAATAGCCCTAAGGTTTCAGTAGTGGCATGCATGCTTTGTTGGTAACCAACAACTCTCTAACTGGACTTAAGATCCATTCAACAAGAGGTAAATCATGCCTAGTACTTGAAACCTAGACAACTACCAAGACCTAGTGAAGTCATAGGTTTTGGACAAGAACCTACAACTGTCTCTTTACTAAACCAGCATAATCCCTAACTACATTCTAAATATTTATCATTGCATCCACAGATAATTGTAGTCCTCACCACTAATAAATGAAACTTCTCTTTCAACAGATGGAGACCACTACAGAAAAGCACATCCAATCAAATGCAGAGTTGTGAAGCCCAGTCTCAATGGATACATTTACAGAACAACTCCACTACTTAACACTCGGGTATCAATGTGGAAAAGGGAGCCCAAAGATTGTAAGAGTCAGAATCATGGAGTTTGCTGTGAGATAGTATGTCCTACTGGTGTCAGAAGCTACACACATAAAATATCACCAACATGACTACCTAAACATGAGCTGAATAAGGACAGCAATAGATATACTAAAGTAGACAGGAGGAAAGACCACAGGCCTCAAGCCTAGATAAAGAACTATAGGCAACTAAGGAATGCAAAGAATAGGAAAAATAGTCTGCTCCAGTGAGAGCACTTCAATTGGTCATCTAATACCAAATGGTCAGCCCTGAAAACATACATGCAAATAACACTATGCAGACTGAGCAGGTTGTATTTATGTATTGAAGAATATGTATGTAGTCCCATTAGTGGTAACATATGTCTTTAATCCCAGCACACTGGAGACCGAGGCAGATCTCTGTGAGTTCAAGGCGAGCCTTGTCTACAGTTTGAGTTCCAGGACAGCTAGTGTCACACAGAAAAACCTTGTCTCAAGAAAACAAAAAACAAACAACCACAAAGAATATGAATGTATATACATGTGTGTATGTGTATGTAAAATTTAATGGAAAAAGAGGCCATGAATTTGTGAAAGAAGGAGGGTTATATTGGAAGGTTTGGAAGGAAAAAATGGAAAAGAAATATGATGAAATTGTGTTATAATATCAAGAAAAACTTTAAAAAATAAAAGAATTCAAGCAGCCTAGATGCCCCTCAACCGAAGAATGGATAGAGAAAATGTGGTACATTTTCACAATGGAGTACTACTCAGCTGAAAAAAACAATGGAATCTTGAAATTTGCAGGAAAATGGATGGAACTAGAAGAAACCATTCTGAGCGAGGTAACCCAATCACAAAAAGACAAACATGATATGTACTCACTCATATGTGGATTTTAGACATAGAGTAAAGGATTACCAGCCTACATCCACACCGCCAGAGAAGCTAGTAAACAAGGACCCTAAGAGAGACATACATGGTCCCCTGGAGAAGGGGAAAGGGTCAAGATCCCCTGAGCAAATTGAGAGCACAGGAAGAGGGGGGAGGGAGCTAAGAGAAGGGGAAGGGAAGAAGAGGAAGGATGCAGAGGTCATGAGGGAGCAGAAAGGTTGAATCAAGGGAAGAATAGAAGAAAGGATATGTGATAAGTAGGGTTTTAGTTGGGGGCGGGTGGTAGAGGAGGACAGGAGGGAGAAGGGAACTGGGATTGTGGTGTAAAACAATCTTGTTTCTAATTCAAATAAAAAAATCTGAAAAGAAAAGAAAAAGAATTCAGTATGGGTGGATATGGAATCTTTTTGGTGCACAGGTTGAGGCAGAGGATCCTGAGTTTGGGGCCAGTCTAGACTATCTAGCAAGGAATTTTTTATAATATATAAAAAAGAACTCATGAGACATATACCAATGATTGTATAAATACAAAATACTAAATATAGTACTTAATATGCTTAAAGAATATCAAACTTTATGTCCATATAAAGTCATAACAACAAAAGTTTTGGCTAGACACACTTTGATGCTATAATCAATCATTTTGACTATCTAGACTGGGCTTAAGGACTGAAGCCATCAAATTTTGTTTACATAAAAGCTTCATGCAGTTCAATACAGCACTGATAAGAAGGGACTTGTAGACTAGTAGTTCAGAATTCGAATCTTGCACCAACCATTGCCCTTATATAGTCAAAATTTTTGCACCACAGCTCCTCATCCCTAATCCTGGATAAGTATTACTACCATATGACAGCTGTGGGAACATGATAAGGGAAGAAAATAATTAATATAGATCTAAGAAGATAATGACACTATATTATCACAGCCATAAAGGAATTATTCTAGCCATTCTAAACTTAAATTTTAAACTAAATTTACCTTTTGTTGTATTGTAATATTCCCAAAATCTAGCTCCAGTGGGTCATGGTTTGAAAGAAAATGGCCCCCAAAGGGAATGGCACTATGAAAAGGTGTAGCCTTGTTGGAGTAGGTGTGGCCATGTTGAAGGAAATATGTCACTTGTAGGTGTGGTCTCCTATGTTCACTATGTGGTCTCCTATGACACTCCTATACTCAGTGTCACAGTTCACTTCCTGTTGCCTGAGGATCAAGACGTAGAATTCTCAGCTCCTTCTCCAGCACCATGCCTGCATACAAGCCACCATAATTCCTGCCATGAACACAATGAATTAGACCTCTGAAACTATAAGCCACCTAAATTAAATGTTCTTCTTTGTAAACTTTGTTGTGATCATGGTGCTCTTCACAGCAATTGAAATCCTAACACAATGCAAAGATTTACAGTAGATTTGATATAAATAATATAATGAAATTAATAATAAAATACTGAGACAAATTATCATAAAAACTTTTAGGCAATAACAGTTTAAATGTGTGTGCTTGTGTGCACGTGTGTGTGTGTGTGTGTGTGTGTGTGTGTGTGTGTGTGTATGTGTATATACGTGTAAGCTATTTTGGAAGTTCTAAAGGGCTATCACTGGCCTCAATCACCCTCCATCTAATTTATTTTCATTTTTTGCAACTTTATTTATTTTTATGTGTCTGAGTGTTTGCTTGAACATATGTCTGTGCACAATGTATGTGCAGTGTCCATATAGGGTAGAAGAAGTCATTAGACCCCCTGGGACTGGAGTTACAGACAACTGATGGCTGCTATGTGGCTGGCAATTAAACCTATGTCTTCTGGGAGACCAGTCAGTGCTCTAAACCACTTTACCACATCTAGTACCTTCCCCTTATTTTTTGCAATGGGTTCTCTCAGTGAACTGAAGGCTCAACATTTTGATGACTCACTAACCGGTGATCCCCCACTCAATACCAGTATTATGGGTACAGACACATCACTACATCTGATTTTCCTGTGATGTCTCAAGTTTTGCCACAAATAACTGTAATTTAAACACTGAGCATCTGCCCAGCCCCCACTTCTTTCCTTTTCCGTCTTATTTGACTGCTTACACTCAACAATTGAAGCATCATACTTCAACATCCCAACAGTGCCTCATTGAACAGAGTAATATTCATAGTATTTCTCATAAGTATGGCTCTGACTCACCATCAGTAGGGATGAGTTTCCAGATGCTTTCGACAGTGGAAATGGTGATTACTTGTACTGCCAAAGCTCCTTCCTCAACACCAGCTTATTATCTGCAAGATGAATGTTGCCAATGTCACAGAAAAAAAATAATATAGAATAAAAGTCACCTTTGATTCCAAACCACTATATTCTAATAAACTTAAAAAATCACAGAAATCTTTAAAAATTTGTCTAAGACAAGAAAATTTATAGTTGTGTTTACTCTGGTACATTTGTTATACTCTAAGATATCATTGATGCAGATATGGAATAATGAACCCTAACCTGTACCCCCAGCTGAAGATGTTCTCAGCTGTCTTAAAAAGAAAAATTGTTTCTGACATGCAGAATCAGACATGTCTAATGGCAATGCTCAAAACATGGATGCAAGCCAACTTCACATCCCTCATCACCAGTGGCAATAACTGGGAAAATTACAGAATATTTTTGTTAATGTTAGCAATATTCTCAATAGCATTAAATGCAATATGACTACAGCCAAAATTACCTTGACATTTCCCAGAATTCTGAAAAATATTCCCACTTTTCATGCAGAAAAAAAAATACTTTAATTTTTAGCTACTGTATTCATTCTCTTTAATACAGAAGTTGTGTAATAAAGTGCTTCTACCAATTCTTAAAATGGAATATTACTAGTTTCTAGTTGACTCTGCTTCATAACGATTGGGGAGAGGATTAAACATTACTAAAAAATGTTGCAAGTAAAATTAGTGTTATGCCTCTGTATTACATAAAATGATAATATAGTCAAGTGAAAATTATTAAAAATCCTTATGAAGCAGTTAACAAATGCAACTCAAAATCACAGTGCTAGAACCACAGCACTGTTTGAGAATTCTGTGAACAAGAAGGCTTACTATACAATTTCAGAACATTAGCAGCATAGATGTTATTGAAACATTTGTCTCAAAAAAGAAACTTTTGAAAAAATCAGATGAACAATCCCAAGTCTCTGTCATCAGTACAAGTAAAGTGGAATATACTGTTACAGGTACTGAATTCATATGTTCTGAAAAATTTGAAGTAATTGTCATTTGTAGTAAGAATATATACTCTATGTATTTTACAAATGTAACCAACCATGTAGGGGAACATTAGAAAGACAAACCTTTGATCAAAAGAGAGACAACCTGTGACTCTTAGAAAAACACATAACTTTATATATATTTTAAAATCAATAAAATTGGGGGGTTTGTTCTTTGAAAAATATTGTCTCAGCTACTTACAAAACAAAAATTGCAAATTATAGCCATGCTTCTCAGCTTGAGCAGGAAGAGTTCTGTGGAAAAGTAGAGTATCATACTAGAACATAGCAATGGACCGTAAATGAAATCTGGGGTTCCTCTTGAAGGCAAAGATGAAGAGCATTCAACAGAACTATTGAAACCATCTGCTGCAACCTGTGATGAAAATCCATGGCCACCTGTAAACAAATAAACTTTGTTAGCTTTAAAGCACTGTAAGAACATGTTCAGTCACAATTACATGTTTAAAGGTTTTTCAAGTATAATCTCTTTATCACTGAAGTCTTCATAATGTCCTTCTCCACCATCCTCTAAGTCGTTGAAACTGGAAGTCCTCTGCTAGGCTACAAACTGAAGATGGTTCTTCATTTGGTTTCCAATTTATAATATCTGGCAGAGCACTAAACAAAAGAATCTATGTGATCAAAATATATTCTATACATGTTTTATTAAAGAATAAATTAAAAGTGTTATTTTTAAAGTCTAGTAAGAATGAAGAATAGGAAAACAGGATTCTACATTATCCTATAAAGTGCTAAGATAAGTTTTAAACATAATACTACAAATACTAGAAGAAAGAAAATCTGGCTTACAAGTCTTCACTTGAGACAAATGCTAAGAAAATGCTGGCTGGAAAGAGGAACAAGTAAGACAAAAGGCCTTCTTGGTGGAGGAAGAGGTAAAAATGTGTGGCAGTGAAAAAGACTACAGAAAACAATCTAAGCAACAGAGAAGAGGATACCTTAAATGCCCTCCCCTGATAATGAGATTGATGACTAACTTATATGCCATCCGATAGCCTTCATCCAGCAGCTGGTGGAAGTATACCCACAACTAATCACTGAACTGAACTGGATTCCAGTTGCAGAGAAGGATGAGTGATGAGCAAAGGGGCCCAGACCAGGCTGGTGAAACCCACAGAAACAGCTGACCTGAACAACTGGGAGCTTTTGGTCCCCAGACTGATAGCTGGGATACCAGCATGGGGATGATCCAGACCCCAGGAACCAGGAACATGGGTTTCAATGAGGAGACCTTGGAAATCTATGGGACCTCCTGTAGTAGTTCAGTACTTATCCCTAGCATAGGTGTGGACTTTGGGAGCTGATTCCACATAGAGGGATACTCCCTGAGCCAAGACACACGGGGTGGGCCTAGGCCCTATCCCAAAGGATATGATAGACTCTGATGATTCCCCTATGGAAGGCCTCACCCTCCCCTGGGGAGCAGAAAGGACATGTGATAGGTATTAGTTGGGGCAGGGGGTAGGGGAGGAGGGGAGGGAGTGAGACTGGGATTGACATGTAAAACAATCTTGTTTCTAATTCAAATTAAATAAATAAATAAGAAAGAAAGGAAGAAAGAAAGAAAGAAAGAAAGAAAGAAAGAAAGAAAGAAAGAAAGAAAGAAAGAAAGAAAAAGACTACATAGTATTCTGAGAACATCAGTACCTCAGGGGAAAGTAGAAGATGGCATGAGAAAAACATGAGAAGGATTGTGGAAATGCCCAATAGACAAAAAGCTAGACCTCTGTCCTCATAGAGAAGTTAAGAAAAACAATGTGATCATTAGAAATGTCTTGGCAGCAGCCTGAAGGTAAGGGGGACAAGAACTGAGGGCAAAGAGCTCAATCACACAAGACAAGGCTACTTCAACCTAATCATGATTGGAAATAGTAATACCAATGACCACCATGTTACTTACCCAATGGATCTTAAGTTCAGATACGTATTTACAGTGCTATGGAATCTAACTTACTTTGGAAAACTGTGTGCAATATAATCTTTCAATGAAAATGTGTCAAGAACTTGACAAGTGTTAGATGATGATTCAGAAACATTAATAATGTCTGTCTTGTGGTGGACTTTGGGGAGCCCCCGTCTAGGGCCCTACCCTCCCTGGGAAGTGGAGGGGAGATGGGATGGGGAGTAGGTGGGGGATTGGGGGAGGGTTGGGGGAGGGGAGGGAGAGGGAGAAGGGGTTGACATGTGAAGCAAGCGTGTTCCTAATTTGAACTAATAAAAAAAATAAAAAATAATGTCTGTCTTTGAGTTGTGGCCATGCTTTTCTGGTTAAAGATATAGTACACATACTAAATGTAAGAGTTGCATTGTAGATGAATCAATTGAGACTAATCTCCACAACTCTGTATTTTGATTGCTTGTGGTTTTCTGTAATGGTCTCCATATGTTGCAAAGAGTTTTCTTGATGTGGGGCAAGAACTACACTCACCTGTGGGTGTAAGGACAAATATTTAGACTCTAGTTAGGGATTATGCTAGTTTAGTAAAGTGGCAGTTATAGGTTCTCCTCCAAGATCAATGATTTCACAAACCCTAAGTAGTTGGCTAGGTTTCCCTCTTATTGAGTAGGCCTTAAGTCCAATTAGAGAGCTGTTGCTTACCAAGAAGATATGCATGCTAATACTGTACACTTAGGGTTAGCATGCAATTCCAGTTTCAGGCAGCTTGGATCCTTTGGTCCTGTGTCTTAAGTGTTTGATCTCTTAAACCATAGTGATTTACTTTCTGCCTTTGGGGGTAACCAAGGGCAACAGTAATATAATTAATGTGTTGGAAGTCTCTTGAACAACAATGACCAACAATTCAAAAGAGGGATTCTCATACCTGGTGTTGGGGTTTTTGTTAGTCCATAGATCCTGGTGGAACTGTCAGCCCAAATGGAGAAATCTTCTTTTAAATTATGTGTATATAGAGTTTTCGTAAAAACAGGCAAGTCCTGTCTCAAAAATCAATATGTATGTGTGACTCATCAATTGGCATACACTCTTATAATTATACCAATGTTTTGACAAACTTCAAACTTATACATAAAACCACTCCTAGCAAGTTCTCAAGTATACTATCTCAGAAACATTATGTACTGTTAATGGATTGACTTTTGTCCTTTCAAACGACCCTGATGCCCTAACCTCTAGTTCCTGTGAACATGACCTTAGGTGGAAATAGAGCCTTTGCAAATGATCAAATTCAGATGAAGTCATAAGAGTGGCTTCTATTCCAATATCATGCATGTGCTTATAAATAAGGAAATTTGGACACAGAAGCAAACATGAAGAGAAAGTATGTGAAGTTGAAGGCTGAGATCAGAGTAACACAACTACAAGCCAAAAACACCAAAGATTGCAAACAGCCTCTAGGAAGGGGCAAAGCCAAGAACAGATTCTCTGTTGCAGCCTTAGAGTGAGTCAACCAGCTGATACCCTGACCTTGTACTTCTGTCCTTCAGTACTGTGGTCAAAAATAATTGCTGTTGTTTAGGTCACCAAGTGTGTGTGACTTCAGCAACATGGAAAAAGATATTATATGTTTTAGGCAAAACTATGCTTTTACTCCCTGAAAGTCAAGATATAGAAATAGAAATTAAAATCTTAGGTGGGAAGAACAGAGGAATGCATGTGGTGGAGGGAAGAGGATCTAGAGGCACAGTGGCAATGGCAGGTACGGGAGCATGGTTGGGGCAGACAAAGAAGATAAAGGAACTTGTTATGTCATTATCTAGTAGGGCCGGTCCTCTGGCCACCAGGAAGCTTGGGCCACCACCAGGCCCCCTTCACCCTGGAGAGTCCACTGCTGCTATTAAAACTATTGATGAGAGACATTCCGCCGCCGCAGACTGGCCTGGAACTAGGTGAGTGAGCTCCTGCCCGCTCCCGACCCCAGGCCAGAACACCCCACCACCCCCATCCCACCACCCCCTCCTGAGCCT